CCACTTCTGGAGGCGCTGCGTCGGCACGTTGTTGGTCCTTGAAGATGCTCGATCGCGCTCGCCGCTGGTCCGCTGACAGCAGCAGGCTCCTTCCACTGCTGGAGGAGCTGCGTTGCATGCACTCTCTCCTGGTAGCTTGCTCCAATGCTTGGTGGAGCTGGTTGCGCTGGTTGCTCTGTAGCTGGGAGCTGGCACTCGATGTAGAGTAAAACTATTTTAGCGATACTTCGTCTTTCAGCTCTAAACTCACACTCGGTGACACATCGCTACTCTGCAGGCCTCGCCATCCTCGGTTGATTGCGGGGCCCATTGCGGGGCCCACCCCGGAGCCTGCTGCTCGCCGCCCTCTTCTGTCGCTCGCCGAGCTGAATTGACGAGCTGATGGTCGCTGTTTATATCCAAAAAAATCTCCCCTCTGCGCGTCTCTTGCGAGAGGAAAAAACAGATGCTCACTCCGTCATGTTCTTTCACAAAAGGCCGGCCGGATTCCTTTGATCTCGCTCTGCGTTGTGGGGGGGGGGGGGGGGGGGGTCCGTGTGTTTGTGTGTCCATGGTCCACACCCGAGACGGCTTTTCTTCTTAGAGCCTAAAAGGCATCTTCTGGTCCAACACCAATGGAGACTAGGCTCTAAGAAAAGCCGTCTCGGGTGTGGACCAATCAAATTCAAGGACAGTGCATATTATTATCAGAGTTGTCTTTTTTGTTTGCATTTTGACTGCTTGTGTTGTGGTTATTGCATGCATGATGCCTTGAATAAAGGTGTCAGTTTTTGTGCCAGTTAATATGGTAAAACCTATTCCTATAAGTGTATTCGTCATTATAAACACTACACCTCCAAAGTTGATTCATTGTTGTGGGGACATTACCAATTGTCACGACAGGAACGTCACCCCATTGTCACGACCGTACCTCTGAACATTTCCGTCCCCTTCAACTCGGACTTCAGCAGTGATGAACCACCACAGTCACCTGCCTGACGTTGTTCCACTGTACACTAATCAGAGGTCAAAACAGGAGGTCCCTGATAAGCTATTTTGGTGGACACCACAATAACAGCGCGTCGCTGTTTTGCTGTGGATTGACACCCAACCAAGGTGCACTCTCTCCATCTCATCATCATCACCATCACCGTCCTCATGGCCATCACCATCACCGTAATCATCAACGCCATCATCATCATCATCATCATCGCCATCATCATCGCCATCATCATCATCGCCATCACCATCATCGTTATCATCACCATCGTCACCATCATCATCATTATCACCACGGTCACCATTATCACCGTGATGACAGCGCGTGGCTGCTTTGTTGTAAATTGACACCCATCCAAGGTGCACTCTCTCCGTCTCTTCATCACCACCATCACCGTCGTCACCTTTGTCAATATCACCATGGTCATAATCATCACCATGTTGTTGTGTTCCTCGCACTTTCTGTTTATAGGTGGCGTTGTGTCGCCACTTTGGAAAGGTTTAGCCAGAGACCAATCGATTACATTTTTGGTACGCGTTTTAGGCAACTGAGAAAATCGGAGACGTCTTCTGGCATTGCCGGGCACAAAGAGCAGTAGTTTTGGACGCTTGGGTCGATTCGATTTTGGTAATCGGCGAGCATGGAGCAGCAGTAACCTGAACGGAGTTGAGCCAGTTTTGTGCGAGTTGCCCGGGTCGGGGATTTTTCGTCGTCTGCTATGGGTGGGGTCCAACCCCCTAGCACGAAATTGGGGGCTTGTGGAGGCGTTCAGGCAGTGCATGGTGGCAGCGGTGTGCAAGTGGTTCAACATTGATTTGGTGGTGCTATTTGGTGGAAGAGCGTTTAAAGTAGATTGCACGTTGCCAGAGCTGAAGGAAAGCAAGGTGAATTTCATTTTCCTAGCAGGTGCAGGGGAAAGAACCAATGAGTATAGGTGCAGGGGGGGCTTTGAGTAGCTTTGTGCAAGGATGCGTTGTTGAGTGGCATGAAGCCAGATATTGATTGGTGAGAAGCTTGCAGTGTTTTTGAATCGGAAGAACTTTGGCTTCTTGGTGGAGATGGTTAATGGGCGCCATGAGGTGGCATCCTATGGCTAGGCGAAGTGCCTGGTTTTGGGCGGTTTGGAGCTTTTGGCAACCTGTAGAGGAGAGGTTTGGGCACCAAATGGGACTGGCATAATTGAGGATGGGACGTCCAATGGCCTTGTAGGTTAGGAGTAAAGTCTCCTTTTGTTGACCCCAAGATGTGCCGGATAAAACTCGTAAGATGTTATTTCGTTTGTTAACTTTTGCATGGACGTTTCTGCCGTGTTGAGCGAAGCTGAACATGATGTCAAAGGTTACACCTATAATTTTTGAGGTTTTTGCTAGTGGGAGGCGTTGGTTGTTTATTTTGACGTTGGGATGTAATTCTGCTTGATGGGAATCAGGTGTGATCATCATCAACATCATCATCATCACCACCATCATCGCCATCATCGCCATCATCACCCTCATCACAACCATTATCATCCGACACCACAACCGTTGTAATGAACGCCAAACAACGGCGGCTTCTCTACACGGCCGCGATGCCGAATGCTCTCAGAGCTATTAAGCAACAGGCCTGCACCCCTTGGCATCAAACTAAAACGCTGCTGTTTGATCTGGGCCACAGCAACCTAGAGTCCTCATCCCGCATCGTCCAGTGATATAAATCAGATCAGGGTGATTGCTGCTTGCCGGTTTGCTCGCCGCTTTGCTCTGCCCGGTTCCTTATTGCTCACCCGAGTCTACCCCTCTGTCCCCCCGATGAAGCTTGGGAGAACTGCATGGAGTTAAAATAATTCACAAACACCACGTTGTTGTGAAACCCCAACGCAGAAGATCCCTGGATTTGATCTTCCACGAAGCAGCTCATGGTCCATCCTAAACCGGATCCACTGCACAAACCATGGCAGATGCGATTACCTGATGCACTAAATAGAAAACTCTCCAGTAGTGTGCGACTTGTGGTTATCCAGAACAGACAGTACAATGTGTAACACTCCACTGGCCCATCACGTGATTGTCTGGGCATGATTGCCTGCGTATGAAATTGTAGTCGTTGCTCTGCGTCTACATCAGCATCCGTACGGAAAGAAGAGAAAGATGATTGCTCTTCGATCGCTACCGTCATGGTCACTGTTCCAGTGGGCGTCACTCGCCCATTCCTCCACCGCTGCTGCGTCTGGGACTACCAGACACTGGCTGTGTATTTGTCTCGATGTACATTGAACTTCCTTGGTGCCGTACATAGGCAACCGTGCTAATGTGAGGTGTGGGGGAAGGACGACAAACTGGACATAAAAATTAGTTCTAAATAAATGAGTTTGTCAATCTAGATGATTTGAAAATGTATAGCTCCGGTGGCTTCCTAATATGGGAAGGAAGAGCATTCCAGACGGCCGCGGAAAGCGCATCTGTTTCGTCCCATCATTCACGTATTGACAAGCCAGACTCTCCTTATGAGACACTAAATGTCGACAACAGTCGAGAGTTATTTGCCCTTCTTGATGCTGCAGAACTCCCAGGAAGGCCGTGTGGCTAATGGGATATCAGGAATGCTTAAATTTTTTTGTGTGTGGAGAAACTGAAACACGAATGAGACCTTTTTGCCTGTAGCAAAATTATGAAACATATATAAATGGACTTTACTCTTTCTAGCAATGAAACAGGAGGTGTGTGAAGATGTCGAAATTCCAAATAGTACCTTTTTCAAGTCATCACACATACTTGTGAAAAAAACATGCAAACAAACATCACCTGATAATGCTTGCATTGTCTTTGAAACTGATTGGCCGACACCAGCGACAGCCTTCTATATGGCCTTGTCTCTACACCAGTGTTAGACCAGATACATTGTCTACTGATATATTATTTATTTCATATAACGACGCTAATGATGTTTATCGAGCTACATATCAAGATGCATTCAGCTCATTAACGAGCGTCTACACACGTGGGAATGAGCCGGATCGCCTGGAGAAACCCATTCCTTGCGTGAGGGGGCAACAATCTATCCCTTACAGAAGGGACAGATGGAGATTAGTCCACACTTTGCTCTACCGCCTTCTCCTGCCGAGCCATGCTATGGCTTGCTCCTCGACGCCCACCCACGGATAGGGAAGGGAGTTCCACAGCCCATCTGTGCGGTGATTCACCAACACTCGCCGCTGCCTCCACAGCACTGGGTCACTACAGGCGAGCCACCACCAGAGATAATGATCCCTTTATAGCCTGAAAAGGATGTTAGGGGTAAGTGCTGTTAGTGAGCTCCTGATGGCCAGCACGGTACACGAGGGCGGGCGTGGGCCAGCTCCACGCCCGCCCGGCTGGCTTTGTCTCCCCAGTGGCAATGTTTTACACGCTGCACCAGGTACTCATTATGAGGCTGAGTCTACCAAGGGGAGGCCCAGGACCAGTTCAGATCATCGTCACCGGTGTTTGGTGGCCGTGAGCGGGAATTGAACTTGGGTCTCTGCCAGGTTCGTAGTGCAGTGCGCTAACAACTATGTTACCGCTCCCCCTGAACAGCCTTTAACAGATTGTAGGGGCAAGTGCTGCTAGTGAGCACTCGCACACAAAGACAGACACACCATTACCAAATACCCGCCACTCGGTGATGCCACCAAGGTACGTTTCGAGTTGGTGACTCCGCATCGTTGTTCCCGTTTCGAGTTGGTGACTCCGCATCGTTGTTCCCATGTTGAGTTGGTGACTCCGCATCATTGTTCACGTTTTGAGTTGGTGACTCCGCATCATTGTTCCCGTTTTGAGTTGGTGACTCTGCATCGTTGTTCCCATGTTGAGTTGGTGACTTCACATCGTTGTTCCCATGTTGAGTTGGTGACTCTGCATCGTTGTTCCCATGTTGAGTTGGTGACTCTGCATCGTTGTTCCCATGTTGAGTTGGTGACTCTGCATCGTTGTTCCCGTTTTGAGTTGGTGACTCCGCATCGTTGTTCCCGTTTTGAGTTCACGAGTTCATGTTGTTCCCACAGGAGGAACACGAGTCGAGCATGGCGGTAGCGAGGAGGTCGAGTCTGCTGTGTGTGGCGCTCCTCTTCTCCTGCCTCGTCAACCTCTTCTGGTTCCAACGCGGCTCCACAACGACGACATTGCGGGACGCCGTAACAGGCGGTGAGGGGAGGGCCCTCCAGCGGTCTCTTGAGAGGGTCGCCAACGGGCCCCTGGTGGAGACACTCAACGATGGGACTCTGACGGAGCAGCTCAACGACATCGAGACCATGTTGGAGAAGATCCTCAAAGGTGACGGTGATTAGCGAAGTCGGCGTGGGATCACCACTGTATATGTGTGTGGCGAGCTTGGCTGCAGTGACCCAATTGGGCGGAATCATCATGTTAGTGTGTAGGGCACTTATGGTGGCTAGGAGATGTTAACTACCTCGCCTGGTATGTAGGAGCTTATGGGTTCGATTTCGGCCCTGACGATGCCTTCTGTATATTTGGAGTTTGCGTCTCTCTCTGTCTCTACCCATGGTTGCATGGATTTTTTCCTCTCCACATTTAGAAACATGTCACACATTTAGAGTATACATTTCCACGTGATCATGATGATGATGGTAAGCCACTTCGTTGAGCTATAATTTGTGGTCGCTTCTGATAAGAGCTATACAGCTCATTCGGCCTTAGATGGTAATTTTTTTTCATAACAGCCAAATACTCTGAACAGACATCAATTCTAAATGTGGAGGGAAAAACCAGAGGACCTCGAGAAAAATCCATGCGATTACCACCTCCTGCATATCAGGCAAGGTAGTTAACATCGCCTTGCCACCGCGGCGCCGCCATCTCTTCCTGCTATGACCCTGTTATCTGGTTCATCGGCACCAACATCAACCGTAGCATCAGAAGAAGCAGAGATAACAGGAGGACGTGTTCCATATGGGAGAGTTAATTGTGGATTGGGGTCATTACCACTCAGACAGCGTGAGAGGTGTAGACGACGGGATTCACAGATAACTTCAATTAAATATCAATAACGCGTTACATACGTTACATGTGTTGTGTTGGCGATACTGTTGGTGCACAGACAGTAATAACGACATCAACACGGTTGTCGATAGCAACATCACCACTGTGTGTGGCCTTAAAATAAAAAAAAACCCATAATAGGCATTTCGGGCAATAGTCCTTATTCATGGCAATTACTATGTTGCCCTCGTTATCTAAATGTGAGTGCCCCCCCCCGTTATTTACATGGGCTTGGGGGGCCCCTCATCATTATTTCTATGGATGTGGGGGGGGGGTTCCCCCTCTCGTTATCTCTATGGGTGTGGGGGTACCTTGTCCTCTTCGTGAACTTCACTTCACACTCAACAATAACCACATGCCCCTACGACTCCGATAAATGCCTTGCACTGGCATCTCCATCAAGTCACACAGCATTGATAAACGGTGTTTTATCTGGAAGACTTTGCTGTTTTTTCTGGGTTTTTTCTGCTGCGCGTAGTTACTTTAAGATGTTCCTTGTTCATGTTTTTGCTTGTTGCGGTTGCACCCAATTCAAGAGCCGAATGTCTCACAGGGCGATACCTAATAAATGAATTGAAACTGAACTGAACTGAAGTCAAGGGTGCAGATCGCTATCTCGTGCTGCCAGCTCCCTCTCAGGTTTCCGCCCCCCCCCCCATTCTTCTCTACGACCCTCCACTGACTTTGTTGTGTCCTACGCAGTGTTCTGCCTCTCACCAGATCCATGTTCTCACCAGTTCAGACTCTCGCCAGTCCAGACTCTCGCCAGTCCAGACTCTCACCAGTCCTGGTGGCTACGACCGGCATCATCGGGCAAGTTGCCATAATTGTGGAAGATGTCCAGTAGAAAGAGTGACAAGACAGCAGCTTATAAAGGGGGGGGGCGTGTGTGTGTGTTTTTTTACTTAACTTTATGACTGACCCTTTCCGTTGGTGGGAGGGGAGGGTGTCATTATCTTTGCGAGAGTGACAAGACAGCTACTCGAAAAGGGGGGGGGGGGTTCCATTTGTTTGTGCTCCCAGCAACCACGCGAGTGATTATATGAAAAGAGATATTGGCAAAATCATTATTAATATAAAAAATGGAAAAATGCCTATATATACAACATTCTGCCCTTTTAAAAATGATCAGTGGTCAAATGACCACGGGTTATTTTTAAACAAAATAAATGCCTTTTCCATCATGAACCATCGACGGTCCTCAAGTTTCGGCTGCTATTTCCTTACAATGCGCGCGTACGTGTCACAAACTTAGCATGGTTACATTTGAAATAAGAAAAGAGAAAAAAAATATTAAGGCAACATGTTACATCGGTTATTATCAATTATTGTTACTGTGATTTTTGTTTTAGTTCCTGGGAAACGCTAGGCAGCGGCTTCGAACACGGTTTTGCATTGTCTTCCTTATGTTACCTCTTTGCCACATGTTTACTAAGTTATGGGTAACCTCACTGCCACTTTTGGTCAAGAGTGTATCATCAGTTTTCTCATGGCCAGGTATTTTAGAGTAACCTATGACCTTTTCACGCAACATCACATCATCCTCCTGGTTCATCGTTGTTATGGCTTTGGCCAAATGAGCACAGTTTACTGGTTCGTTTTTGTATATTTTTATTTCACTCTCTTTCCATGTGAGACTATGTGGCGTGAAGTTGTGTTGCACGTAACCAGAATTCGCACACACCACGAGTTTCCGTGCTCGACTGTCGGGGGCATTTGCCTTCCCCGCAGCAATATGCGCATTTGATGACTCTGTGAGTCGATTCGATTCTGTGCCACGATTCGATTCCGTGCCTTTGAGTGTGCTGGGTTTCAACACAATTCCCGATCCGTCCATTTCAGCACTCCGATCTCCATCCCTCCTCAGTGTGCCAATGCACAATTTTTCATCCAAAGGCTGATGCCTGCATTCCTCAGGTCGTGTCCCTGCAGCACCTTTCTCTGCCAAATCCATAGTACAACCATGCAAACTCGCGACACAATGGGCGGCTTTTCATTTACCTGGCGATCAGGCATTACTCCCCCTCCCTGCGGTTGGTTATCATCTCCTGTCGGATCACACTTCAATGCAGTTATGTTGTCCTGTTCGATAGGTGTGTCAATTACGGGAGCGATACTTGCGTTCTCTACCACATTATCAGAATTGGTACTCGACGCATTTAGTGTTTCCCAATCATCGCTACTCTTCTGGTTTGCCTTGTCACTAGCAGCCTGCTTGTATTTTCCAACGGGGCTGTGATTTTGCTGTGATTCAGTGGGTATTGCTCTCACTGACAGCTCCTTCTCAATTAATGTGGGTGATTCATCACGTGTTTGTGCCACATTTTGTATCTCAGTTGAGACCATTTCTGTTTCCTTATTCCCTGTTTCTCTTACCCCTCCTGGTGGAGCCGGTGGTGGTATCGATCGGAAGTGGGCAGATTGTTTTTGACCTTCCATGTGCCGTGGCATTGGGTACTGGAATGATTCTGCTCTTGGCCTCCACACTTTGCGATTCTCGTTAATACGTGTCTTTGCGTGCTGTGGTCGCCTCCAGTTTGTGTGCCACTGTCTCGCTGAATTGTTACCTTGCCATCTGTGTGGGTAATTTTGACCTTCCGTATGCCGTGGCATCGAGCCCTTAAGTAGTTGCTCGCGATGAGTCTCAATGTCATCGATGCGGCTCTCCTCCCACGTGTCTCCCTGATTTGTCTGCTCTGTAGCAGACCGGCCTGTACGTTTTAATACAAATTCCCAATATCCCGCAATCCACTCAAAAATTCCTTTTAATCCTAGCATCTCTGGTATTCCACTTCAGAGTGCATATCAAAACAATTGTATCACAGAATGCAGTCAGTTCGACTCGGGCTACTCTGGTATTCCACCTCAGAGTGCATATCAAAACAATTGTATCACAGAATGCAGTCAGTTCGACTCAAGCAAATAATCTTAATCCAACTGTCTTCATTATGCTCTGCTACTCTGGTATTTCCCTTCAGAGTGCGTTTGTGTTTGTTTTACGCCCATTTACAATCACAAGGCAATGTTAGTTCACAATACTTTGGTTAACTCAACAGTGGATCATTCCTTAATTCATGCATAAACTGTCTGCGAGAGATCCCGGACGAGCTCCCCATTATGTTGTATATGCCAGGTATTGAAAATTTGATGAAAATAATAAAAATTTAATAAAATTTGAAAAAAATGCGTAATTATCCGAAATTATGTTAATTGATGTAATTGTGTGCATAGAGATGATGGTATTAATTAATGTGAATGTATGCGATTATGCTGTGGGCAGTTATGATAATTAGGCTTAGCTTCGTTGCGCATGGTCGTATCATCAATCGGGATCATACAATTAATTGTATGAAGTTATGCAGGTGTGCTGTAAGTATGCTAGATTAAGCTCAGCTTCGTTGTTCAGTTTGTATTATCAATCAGTATAATACAATTATTCTTGCTTTAACATTTACTGATTATGTATTAGTGTGTTTATGTCAGATCTCCAAATTCAAATCTCTCCGCAGGATACAGTTCTTATTATTAAGATTATTACGCATGAACTCGGGAAAGAAACACTCAAACACTTCTGTGTTAAGCAATTTTAATTCAAAACAGAAACATGACACTCTAATATGCGAACTCTCATGCTTGGAATTACCCCCGGTACCATCGGGGAAATTTCCCTCAGCGAGCAGTACATTTGACAATCAATGGTTGCGTTGTTTCACTTTGGCAACCGCACATATGATTAATTCCACCGCGTAACACGAGCTTAGTTGGTGATAGGGAGAGTCTTTAAAACAGGCATGCAACGATATTCATACTAAAGGCAATAAAAGCAAATTATTATACCCCAAAGGCAAAAGTATACGTCATAGATTCATCGGCAAGATTATATAATTAACGAAATGTTTTGGAATAAGGTATGCGACGGGGTGTGTGCCCTCCTACGGGAGATTCTTATCTTTGGCTAAGCTTTAATTAATTCGTGGACACGATTACATGATAAAGAAACAGGTTAACACGATATTCTCTCTGTGAGCATGTAGATTCGTGACGAAGGTTTCAAAAGTTTAGTTTGCATCGATTAATCTATTGGTAATTTATGCGATTAGAAGTAAAATCACAAAAGAAAATAAGAAGAAAAAATTATTTCGGTAAAGTCACGTAGAATGGAAATAAAATAATAAAAATAAAACATAATAAAATAAAATTCTCACGACGTTTCGGCCACAACACAAGTAGCCTTCTTCAGGTGAAGGAACAGAACTGTCGGGACGACAGCGCTTCAATGAACACTGCTAAGCTTGGCAGCGCCTTTTAAGAAGGGTTGGAGGAGCAGAGCACCTTGACAAAGGAGTTTACATATCAACAGAAGAATTTAGCATTGAAGTATCTGTGTTAATGTGTTAGATTAGCAGGGTGTTAAAGTCAGAAATTAACATGTAACTGGGAGATTAGCATGATGTTAGTGTGAGGGATTAGCATGTAACTGGTCACGGAAGTAGCTATGTTAAAGTCACTTTTTTCGAAATAGAATTGTAATGTATAACGACTTATTGTCAGTAGTTCAGCTGTTTGGAGAGTATATTTAGTTTATTGATAACATTGATGTAGTTTATATTTTAGTTGTTTTTTTCATCAGTTTACTATATGGTATTCATTATATAGTGTAGTGTATACCCATTTACTTTATGTTAATAGCTCAACTTATTGAAGAATATATTGAGTACATTTATTATATTGATGTAGTTTACACTTTGTTCTTTCACATTGGCTTATTCTATGATAGTTGAGTAGTTGCAGTTCTTTAGCGTCAATATACTAAATGCCTCTTGATATGTAAACTCTGACTTTAACATAGCTACTTCTGTGACCGGTTACATGCTAATCCCTTACACTAACATCATCCTAATCTCCCAGTTACATGCTAATTTCTGACTTTAACACCCTGCTAATCCAACACATTAACACAGCTACTTCAATGCTAAATTATTCTGTCGATATGTAAACTCCTTTGTCAAGGCGCTTTGCTCCTCCCACCCAGCTCAAAAGACGCTGCCAAGCTTAGCAGTGTTCATTGAAGCGCTGTCGTCCCGACAGTTCTGTTCCTTCACCTGAAGAAGGCTACTTGTGTTGTGGCCGAAACGTCGTGAGAATTTTATTTTATTATGTTTTATTTTTATTATTTTATTTCCATTCTACGTGGTGACTTTACCGAAAGAACCAAGAAGATGAATCCCTGCAGTCATGAAAGCTTTAAATCGAAATTCCTTGATGTGAAGAAGGCGATGGCTTTGCCCCGCGCCACCGTCAGCAGCCGATGTAGTCACTGTCGGCCGCGCACCACGCGGCTCTGGCGAAATGGCAGACTCAAGCTGCGCACCCGCGGCCCCGCCCAAGATGGCGACTTCGCACCACGTGGCAGCCACCGTGGTCGTAATGGTGGACGGCCCTTTGGAGGCCGCAATGGCGGCCGATTCCTGCATAAAGGGACCCTCCGAGACCCCCCGAAGGGAGCCCTGCACGTCACCACTCGGCAACGTTCCCTGCAGTCGTCCCGGCGCCGCGGACGACGCGACCAGCGTCACAAGGTTGAGCAGGACCGTGCGGAGCGAGTCTATCTGCTCCGCCACACGCTGACAGCCGTCGTCCACGCCCGAAGACGAAGATGGCTCTGCTCCGACGTCTTTACCTGGCGCCTTGGTAGAGCCAGCCGCGGTTGCAGTAATCGGGTCCGCGGCACCCGGGGTCGGTAGGTCTTGGGTGAGTGAGTCATCATCAGCGTCGGAAGAAGGCGCAGGCGGTTCATCTTCTTGAGATGCTTGGACATTTCCGTGGCACTCGCGTCAACCGATTTCAAGAGTCACTTCTGACACTTGTAATAAAAGACTTCGATGACAATCTGGCTGTGTCTTATTTATTTCTCACCGCTGGACAGCTCCGCGTTCTCCCACGCTATCACCGTTGCTCCGCGTTGCGCGGCGTGAGTTGTTATCATTCGCGCACGCTCGCTCACTCTTCCCGTTCCTGTGCACCAATGGCAGACGGCGCGCAGGGAGACTGCCTCCGGACCGCCACGTGGCCGATGGCGTGCCGTAGGCGCGAGACGTGGTCCCGCTTCCAGACTTCCCACACTGACCTCGAGTTCTTTCCGGCTTCCCCTTATAACCCCTCTCCGCGTCACCAAGCCCCGCCTCTAGCCACGCCCCCTTATGAAGCTTGTAGATAGTAACCCACTAGCACCCCCGAGCTCGACCCTTGAACTCTGGCCCAGATAATCCCTTTCACCCGATTGGCTTAGAGGCTGAAGCGGCGAAGCCTATCCCACCTATCGGCGAACATCAGTGTACGCTCCCATTACACTATGATCACCGTTACATTGCTTTTATGGCTTTATTTTGGTGATTTCGAAAACTTTTTTTGGTTTGACCACGTTTGTTTGTTGTAGTATGGAGTTAGACTGATGGCCTTAATCTAAGTTGTCTTGTGGTTGTTGCTGTTTGACTTGCATCCCACTGGGATTTTTGCACACAGCGTTGGTATACGGTGCTTTTTCTGCAATATTTTGCTGTCTTTTCTTGGATTTTCTGTTTGTACAAAGTCACATAGTCACTTTAAGATGTTTTCTTGTTCATGTTTTTGTTTTTTACCTTGCTAATTGGCCATGTCGGGTGGTGGTGCCGGGTTTAAGGACCCATTTATATTTACGCGATCTAACCCACCAAAACACTTTTATTATGGATAACAATTGATTTGATTGATAACCGAGCCATGTTTCATTTCTTACCCCACCCCCCATCGCCCACGAATCCTAAACGCGATTTTTGCATAGGATTGCACAAGAGCGATGGAGCATCGAAGAAAGAGGTCGTGTGCGAGGGGAACCAGTGGGTACCCGATCCCGAGACCCCGCTATTCAAAGAGTGGGGCAAGGAGCTCCCGGCGCGGCAGAAACGCAAGGCATGCGCCCGCTTCCTCACCTACGGCTACAACGCCTACCTGAGCGACCGGCTGCCCCTCGACCGTGACGTGCCCGACAACCGCCCTCCCGGGTACGCCACTCAGAGTCACACTCTCGCTTGGCATCGCCATTATCATCATCACCACCATCATTATTAGCAACGTTATCATGGCCATCATTGCCATCATCATCATCATCGCCACCATCGTCGTTGTCGTCATAATCGTCATCATCACCATCTTCACTTTGGTCATTATCATGAGCATTTAACTCTATGTAACCACATCGCTGTCAGTGTGACGATAGATCTATCTACGTCCTTGTAAGAGGGCTGCCTCTCAGCTCCCATTAAACACGATTGCAAAACCAGGGACGTGTTGTCGCTCGTGAATGCACGTGCACGCTTACTGCAATACGCCGCCATGGGGATCTGTGATGAACCGGATTTTTATCTCTGGGGTTTTTTGTATATCGAAAATAAAAGAAAAGCCTTGTTTGTTTGCTGCTCTCGAAAGTTTACCCTGCCCAACAAGACACTGCCCACGTTGATCAGAGCATATCGCTACTTTTTATTTCATATCGCCGATGTAGATGCAGAGCAAAGACTACAATTTCACATACTGAACTGAACTAAAATATATATTTTGTTATCACAAATTATAGCAGCTCTACAAAGTGGCTTATCATCATCGGGGGGAAATTTCTAGCAGCAGCCAAATATTCCAAACGCGTGATGTTGATTTTAACTGTGGGGAGGAAAACCCAATCCACACGACCACGGTGAAACAGATAGATAGACGCAAACTCCAGGTATACAGTAGACGTCAGGGTCGGGATTGAACCCACGACCTCCTGTATACCCAGGCGTGGTCATTAATATATCCTAGCCACCTTGGGTACCAAGTGCATTCGTAAAAGCCACTACTGGCAGGACAAACACTCGTTGTGAAACGTGAGAATGTGTCGACGTTTGTATTGTTCCGTTTTATTGCCACGCTAATCTCCAGTGATCTCAACTTTTCACGGAACCTCGCACCTTCACCTCTGAACGAGCAAGAGCAATGGCAAAAGGAGCACAACAACCCCAGCAATAAATACATCAGAATATCATTTGTATGCTGGTACAAATATTTACAAAGCCCTTGGGCTATCGCCGTGCTTATCCCCCGCGTGAAGCCCTGCGGAGCCAGTGGTGGAAATTCCACGTTCCTGTTTTAGGGGCGGGTGAGTCTATTATAAAAAGTTACTTTAGAAATCACCAAAATGTTAGGTTGGGATAGCTGGTGAAAAAGTGCTGTCCCTTGACTGTGTGTGGACCATATGAACATATGTTGAACTTCCTTCACACCGTACATAGCCAACCGTGCTAATCAGAAGTGTGGGGGTAGGATAACAAAGTAGACACAAAGTTTGTGTTTAGATTGAAGAAGAAGGGATCTCAGAGGTAGCTCTGTGATGTCCACTTCTGCAGGCCGGAATTGGCAGCTGCACGGAGTTGGTTTCTCCATCAATAACGAACTCATCAATCAGCTTCACGAGTTACCTAGCGGAATCAGTGAGGACCTCATGACTCTACGTCTCAAACTGGTGGCGAGCCACTGTCAATAGCGCATATGCCCCAACTCTTGACTCCAATGATGAAACCAAAGAAGAATTTTAGGCCAACCTTGATCAGGTCGTTTCTACCATTCCTGCCGGAGACAAACTTATTTTTCGTGGTGATTTTAGGAGTGTGGAAAGTCATTTCCAACGGTATCCTCCCCTTGACAAAATGCTCACAAACATTGACTCATCATCACCAACACCCTGTTCTGCAAGAAAATCAAATATATAACATAATGGCAACATCCACGATCTAACCATTGACACTTAATCAATGACATAATTGTTTGTGCCCGGGATCACAAAGATGTCTGCATCACCCAGGCTGTGTTATAGAAGCTGGTGATTGTCGGCATTATCAGGGACTCATCTGCTCAATCATGTCCATAAAACTGGTGGAAGAGATGCCGACAGAAGGTCAATGTTGAAGGTCTAAAGGACTCGATTAAGCAATGGCGTGCGAGTACGCCCCTTTTTGAAAACGAAAGAAGCAGCTAAAGTTTGGCATACCACCACTGAAAATTGCTGTACAATTGAAAGGCAGCTAACGTTTGACTTGATTTATAACATCTTTCCAATGGTTGCTTAATTTGAAACCATCCTCTCGGTTGAAGTTGTGTCTGTGTTTGTATATCTGGATGGCCTCGTGGACAAATCTCTGGTAATAGCCGGGAGGTTTGCAGAGTACCTTGGTATCGGAGAAAACAATATCATGATAACCCACAGCGTTGTAACAGTGATCAGCTAAGGTAAAAGAGTTCGTTCTGCCGTGTTTTAAATCTGATTTGTGCTCGCGAATTCGGTCAGATATATGTCGTTTCGTCTCCCCGATATAGCAGTCACCGCAGTTATAACTCAATTTGTAAACACCGGGGTATTGTAAGTCAGGAATGACATCTTTTACGGATGGGATCAGATCACGGATTATGTGTATTGTGTTGAACTGGACCTGGATCTTGTGTTTGTTTAGAATTTTGGAAATCTTTTTAGTAATGCCTGCTATGTATGGTAATGTGATGATTTTGATCGGAGTATCAAGTGGTTGTTTCTGTATGGTGGGAGAAACAGCTTGGCGGATGGTACGGTCAGAGTATCCGTTCATCTTGAGGGCCAGATGTACATGTTTTAATTCACTGGTCAGGTGGTGTCGGTCAGAAATGCAATGAGCCCTATGGTATAACGTTTTGATGAGAGAACTCTTCTGAGTTGGGTGGTTGGTGGGAATCAGGTTTCAAGTAGGAGTCTGTGTGGGTGGGCTTCCTGTAAACAGAATGTCCCAAAGAGCCATCAGACCTCCTCTCAAAAAGAACATCCAAGAATGGCAGCTTGCCATCTTTCTCCATTTCCATGGTGAATTTGATGGAAGGATGTCTGGAATTGATGTGGTCTAGGAAAAGGTGACAGCAAAACATATACCAGTAGAGGATATCATCTCTCAGGTCGATGTAGCCCTCAAAGGCATAGGACACATCCAAGCAGACGTTGCGAGAGCTGAAATAGCCACTATTCTTAAGAATGTTAAGAAACCCATTAGCAACATCAGCAAAAATGAACGCTCTGAACTCGCGAATTAAAAAAAAGAGATGATATAGTCATCCTCTCGGCCGACAAAGGCAATGCCACTGTCATTATGGATAAAAACTCATACAACAACAAAATCCAGGACCTACTCAATGATGGGAGTTACTCAAAAATAAAAAATGACCCTACTAACAGCCTAACGATAAAAACCAACAAGATCATCACTAGTTCGACTTCCCTAATCGAACCAACCAAACGTCCCTGCCTAAAACCCTCCGCTGCAAGACCTCCCAGATTCTATGGTCTTCCCAAGATCCATAAAGAAGGTACCCCACTATGACTCATCGTGTCCACGATCAACTCCCCTACCTACAAGCTGGCCCGTTTTCTGTCAGATACTCTGCTTCCCTTCACTGGCAAGACCACCTCAGCAGTACTTAACTCTACCCAATTGGTTTCTATGATCAAAGACATTGTACTGTCTCCTGACGATATCCTCGTCAGCTTTGATGTGGTCTCTCTGTTCACCAAGGTCCCAGTACCTGATACCATAACAATAATTGAAGATTTGGTCCAACATGGACTGGACTCCGATGTACCTGTGCTGGTTAGGCACTGCCTCACCAACACCTACTTTACTTGGAATGGCACCTTCTACAAACAAAATGATGGTACCCCTATGGGTTCCCCCTTATCACCAGTGATAGCCAATGTTTTCATGGAGAAATTTGAATCAGACACCATCCAGACACCCACACTCAGTCCTTCCCTGTGGAAGAGATATGTGGATGATACTTTGGTAATTTGGCCACATGGCCTCCCAGCTTTGAACCTTTTCCTAGACCAGATCAATTCCAGACACCCTTCCATCAAATTCACCATGGAAGTGGAGAAAGATGGCAAGCTGCCATTCTTGGATGTTTTGTTTGAGAGGAGGTCTGATGGCTCTTTGGGACATTCTGTTTACAGGACGCCCACCCACACAGATTCCTACTTGAAACCTGATTCCCACCACCACCCGACTCAGAAGAATTCTCTCATCAAAACGTTATACCATAGGGCTCATTGCATTTCTGACCAACACCACCTGACCAGTGAATTAAAACATGTACATCTGGCCCTCAAGATGAACGCATACTCTGACCATACCATCCGCCAAGCTGTTTCTCCCACCATACAGAAAGAACCACTTGATACTCTGATCAAAATCATCACATTACCATACATAGCAGGCGTTACTAAAAAGATTTCCAAAATTCTAAATAAACACAAGATCCAGGTCCGGTTCAACACAGTACACAAAATCCGTGATCTGATCCCATCGTAAAGGATGTCATTCCTGACTTACAGTACCCCGGTGTTTACAAAATTGAGTTGTACCTGCGGTGACCGCTATATCGGGGAGACGAAACGACATATATCTGACCGAATTCGCGAGCACAAATCAGATTTAAAACATGGCAGAACGAACTCTTCTGCCGTAGCTGATCACTGTTACAACGCTGTGGGTTATCATGATATTATTTTCTCCGATACCAAGGTACTCTGCAAACCTCCCGGCTATTACCAGAGATTTGTCCACGAGGCCATCCAGATATACAAACACAGACGCAACTTCAACCGAGAGGATGGTTTCAAATTAAGCAACTATTGGAAAGATGTTATAAATCAAGTCAAACGTTAGCTGCCTTTTAATTGTACAGCCATTTTCAGTGGTGGTATGTCAAACTTTAGCTGCTTCTTTCGTTTTCAAAAATGGGGCGTACTCGCACGCCCTCGCCTCCCCCCGAACCCCCCTGCAGCATAACAAAAGGCGGCTTAACTCAGCCCTCCCACTCACCCACGTTCCCTTTCTGGCTCCCCCCCCCTCCTTAACCTATATATAAACCCGATCGTCTCAGAGCTGTGCACTTGACACAGATATTCTGCTGTGACTTTTCCACCTGAAGACGGAAGCTTGTGTTGCCTCCAAAACGTCGTGATTTAATTGTTTTATTTTATTTTACCTACGTGACTTTACCGAATAGAACCAAAGAGTATGAATCCTTGCAGTCACGAATGCTTCAAATCTAGGAGAGAAGGATAATTTAGAAAATATTCTCAATCGAGACTCGTTCGTCGATGGCAGAGTTTTTGGCTCCATCCCACAACACCTAATCAGAAATGAGCTTGGATTCTCCCAAAACCATTGAAGTGAGGAAACCATTCAAATGATGAAGAACAAAATGCATCTTGAGTTGATAGAATCCCTGCTGAAATGTTCAAACAAGTGGGAGAGGAGCTCAGATTATGGCTCCAAGGTCTCATCTTAAAGATTTGAAAATACGAGGAAATCCCAAACGACCTCAGGAATTCCATTATTGTGACAATCTTTAAGAAAAACATAAATCCGATTGTGGAAATTACAGGGGGGATCGCCTTGCTGTCCACTGCAAGAAAGATCATTGCCAGATCTCTCCTGAACCGTCTACTGCCACTTGCTGATGAACTCCTCCCAGAATCCCAATGTGGGTTTAGGCCATCGAGAGGCACAAATGACTTTATCTTTACTGCCTGTCAACTGCAGGACACATGTCAGGGACAACCCAAACCTCTCTACATGACCTTCTTTGACCTCATGAAAGCCTTTGATTCTGTCAAACGAGAAGCTCTGTGGAGTATCCTTCAAAAGTATGGATGTCCACTGAAATGTGTCACCATTTTGTCACCTGCTGCATGATGGTCTGTGAGCAGTGATTTTTCGTAATGGATCCTTCTCAGACCATTTTGAAGTTAAGACTGGAGTCAAACAAGGCTCTGTCATCGACCCAACACTCTTTTCAATATTCCTCGCTATGACACTATAGATAATTACTGGAAAATTTCGAGCAGGAGTGGAGCTAAACTTCCGAATGGATGTTAAGCTGTTCAACATCAACCAATTTCTATCTAAAATTAAGACCATCCTGGCAGCAGTTGTTGAGTTCTAGTATGCTGACGATGCTGTTATTTGTTCCCGACTGAGAAGCGGATCTTCAGGCAATTGTCAAAACTTGTACTGAGGCATATGAGAAAATGGGACTGACTCTTAATATTTTAAAGACTAAGGTCATCCATCAACCAGTTCTCAATGGGCAGTTCCCAGCTCCAATAATCTACATCCATGGTTAGACTCTGGAAAATGTTGAGCATTTGCCATACCTTGGAAGCCTTCTTTCACAGAATGCTGACATCGACAAAGAAATACAAAATTGCCTTAAATGTGCAAGTGTAGCTTTTGGTTGGCTGAGGAAAAGGTAGTTTGAAGAACGTGACATCAGGTCCAAACCCAAAATCCTGGTTTATAAAGCAGTCGTAATCTTTACCTTACTGTATGGAGCTGAGACGTAGATAATATACAGGAGACATCTCAAAGCGCTAGAAAAGTACGATCAACGCTGCCTGTTGTAGCCCGCCTTACCAACCCAGTTACATCCATCACTCTTTCTGTACACATGTGCCTAAGCTGTGGCAAAATCTGTCAATCCCAGATTTGTCTCTTCAGCCATCTTTGGACCCACAGATAATACAACTTTTCTATGGAAGACAATCCTCGATTTCGAGGGATAACCCATGATAATGATGTTAACAAGTTGAGAAATCAAGAGGCCAGGATGAGTCTCATTTGCAATCATGACCTGGGTCACCAAAATTGACTAAACATGTTGGATCTTGATTGGCGATTTGTAATTGGTTGTTTCTTGTCTATGATTTCTACTCGCTTCATTGTCGTCCCTCTTGTTACTTGATTTATTTTTAAAAAATTGGTCCCGGGGATCGTTTGACCATACGTGGGTCGCTTCCCCTCTCCCGCCCCCGCCCCCCCCCCCTGCAGCTGCAGCTCCAAGCGGTACCCGTCGGAGCTGCCGGCTCTCAGCCTGGTGCTGATCTTCTATAACGAGGCCGTCTCCATCCTGCTGCGCGCCGTCACCTCCGCCGTGCGCAACACGCCGCACCACCTCCTCAAGGAGATCATCCTCGTCGATGACTGCAGCGACTATGGTGAGAGCTGCAGGGATGCCACCTCAACCTTCTCCTCCTACACCTGAACCTCCTAATTTTCTACCACCGAATTCTCCACCTCCTAATCCTCCACTTACTAATTCTTGACCTCGTAATCTTCCACCTCGTTCTCCAATTCCTCCTCCACCTCGTCCTCCACCTCCGCCCCCACAGAGAAAACTGAAAGAGAGATGGATCTAAAATTCGATTAAAAGCTTTCGTGACTGCAAGGATTCATCTTCTTTGGTTCTTTCGGTAAAGTCACGTAGAATGAGAATTAAAAAAAAAATAACACAATAAAATTCTCACGACGTTTCGGCCACAACACAAGTGGCCTTCTTCAGGTGAAAGGAACAAACCTGTCGGGATGACAGAGCTTCATTGAACGTTGTCAAGATTCGTAGCATCTTTTAAGCTGGTTTAGAGAAGTGAGGCACCTTGACAAAGGGGTTTACATATCAAACAGGAGAATTTAGCATTGAAATAGCTGAGGGATTAGCTTGTGACTGGTCACAGAAATGGCTATGTTAAAGTCAAAGCCTACACATCCACAGAGGCACCTAGTACAAATCAAACAGGAGAATATAGCATTGAAATAGCTGAGTGATTAGCTTGTGACTGGTCACAGAAATGGCTATGTTAACGTCAAAGCCTACACATCCACAGAGGCACCTAGTACAAATCAAACAGGAGAATTTAGCATTGAAATAACTGAGGGATTAGCTTGTGACTGGTCATAGAAATAGCTGTGTTAAAGTCAACATCCACAGAGGCACCTAGTACATGGACGCTTAAGGGGCTGCCACAACTCAACTATCATACAGTAAACTGATGTGAAAAAACCTAAGTCTAAATTACATAAATATAATAAATGTACTCAATATATTCTTCAATAAGCTGAGGTATTAACAGTAACTGGGTATACACTACACTATATAATGAATACCATATAACCAATAAAAACTAAAATATAAACTACCTCAATGTTATCAATAAACTCTATATATATTCTCCAATCAGCTGAGCTACCAACAATAAGTCGTTATATATCACAATGCTACGTGGCGAAAAAATGGGTGGATTCTTACCCGCAACTTCAGCACCACGGACAGCTACGAGCCCCGTTCAGATGGACGAGTCCATTCATGGTTGGAACGGAGGAGGGAGGAGAGAGACAGCTGCGAGGCGCTGTTATACTCCATGATGGATCTCTCTCTCTGTCAGCCCGGCGGATTTCCTACAGCAAGGGTCAATGCAATTCTGGTATCAGATTTCGGCAGCACAAATAAATTCCCACCTCCTTAACAAACAATGTATGTTTCCGGGCTGGTGGCAACCCGAGAGGGCGGGTGGGGATTGTGTGGGTGGGTAGGTCGGTGAGTGGGTGGCTCTGTGGGTGGGTGGGAACTGGGTGGGTGGGAATTGAGTGGGTGGGAGTGGATAAATGAGCAAGTGTGTGAGTTAATTCATTCGTGAATTATTAAATAAACTAAAATTATTTAACAACTAAACTATGTTTTATTTCACCAAGTAAGGCCCACTGAGCTATATAGCTCTTTTTCAGGAGCGACCTGGCCATACATGATATCCCAATGAAGTGGCTTATTACGTGCAAATTTAAAGCAGCCAAATACTCTCAATGCATGTTTCTAAATTTGGAGGGAAAAACCGGAGGGCCTGGATAACAATCCACCCAACCACAGGGAGAGAGAGATGCAAACTCCAAATATACCAATGAGTGCGAGAGTGAGTGAGTAAGTTACGTGCCAAACGGAGAGGCCCCAAAACAAACTCCACGTAGAAGACTGCCCGAATCTGGAATCAAACCGAGGCATCATTATTTCCGTGCACCGCCCTCTTCACCCGAATCTGGTGAAAGGCCTCTCGGTCATGGCCCCATGTAACACGGCTGCCACGGGGGTTGACGATGTTGTCACCACTTCGCAGATGACCTGCAGGAAGGGTTCGACTCCCTCGTCAAGGAGCTGGGCCGCAAGTACGACCATGTGAAATTCCGGCTAGAGCGGCACACGGCACGGAGGGGCCTCAGCGCGTCGCGTGTCACCGGCATCCGAGCAGCCTCAGGGCCCGTGGTGGCCGTCATGGACGCCCATGTGGAGTTCCCCATTGGATGGTGAGTGCCAAACTCTCTCCGGGTGGTGAGTCCGCTGTGCCGTGACACTTTGCACCGTGAGTTCCATTGATCATCAGAACCAGCATTGGGCCATTCTGGAGGGTGGGTGGGGTGGGTGGGGGAAGGCGTGATGGCATCAAAGCGTGACACATCCAGCTCAAGGGCTGTGGAATGCGTGGTGACGTCATTGTGCAGATGTGCAGCAGTGACATCACCACCGCACACATCTCTCTGACTGTGCGCCAGCCAGCTAACTAGTAGTTCCCCGTTGGCTGGTGAGTCCCGAACTCTCTCCAGCTGGTGAGTCCTGAAATCTCTCCAGCAATGGCTCGGCCCATTTCTACTTTTTGGGCCTTTCCATTTTTGACTCGGGCTAGGGGTACCGGTGGCCACTGTTGGGCATTACATGAACCTTATGACGTGACCCCGGGGTCCCATAAGCTCCCGGCTCTCGCATAAACTGCGTTGCGACGTAATTTTATGTCTGTTGAAGGCGAACAATACGGGAATCTATTCCTCTCGACGAGCTCTACACAATGCACTAATAAAAGTTTCAAAGTTTTGTTTCTTCTGCGCATTCGTCCTCGCTGCGCTTGGACGACACGACAACAGAATGATCCGCCCCAGGTGGGTCGCGGCGTTTATGTGCGCGGTGGGACGGAGTTGCCAAAAATAAATGAATCAATTACGATTTTGACTTCCATTTATTCGGGACTCCAGGGTCCCGCCATGAGTTAACATGGCAGCCCGGACACCTGTTGTGCCGTGAGCACATGTGGCTAAGAGATGCACCCAAGGCATGGGTCCCAAACTCTCTCTCTGCAAAAATAAATAAACACATTTCGATTGACAATCTTGGTCGCCAAGTGGCTTCAGACTCTTCTTGACTCAGAGAAAAGAAACATCTGATGAAGCATTCATTCATTCATCACAGCATAGTCAGCGAAGGACCGTTGTGCCAAACGTGCAATCTCTTGCAGCAGCATTCACATAAACTGCTCTCGCTGCCATACACCGGCGTCGAGTGATTTATTTGATTTACGGATCATGGGGGGGGGGGGGGGGGGGGTGGGGCGATCACGGAGGTGGCGCCATTCCCTTGAGGGTCGCAGTCCGCTTTGAATCCCCAGTTCCATCGCCTGATGAAGCTCAGAGCAGATTCAGTGAAAAAACGTCGCTTTGTATGTTGACGTTGAATTTCCCCAATGTTTACGGCCTATCGGTGACTGGATGGCACATTAATGACTGGATGGCTAAATGCAATCGGCAATGTGTGAATAATTTGTGCTGTGCATTTGCATCTCCGATTAGCATAGTTGGCGATGTACGGTGTGAAAGAAAAACCTTTTCTACAGTCAGTTCTTCTATAGTGCGTGTTGTTTTCATTCTGTGAATTTGATATAACGTGATGAATGTATCAGGGAACACATTTTTCATAACGCGGATTTGAATTGGATATGATGTGATTCAAGTGTACGTCGCATGAGTAAGAATAAGTAGTTTGTATAGCTACCTCAGCGAAGCATCACACAAGGCATTGACATGCTGCTGGATGCTTCTAGATGCTACCCACGTGCCTCAGTATTTGTTCAGCCTGCATTCGCATCTCACGCATTATTGTGGACTGTGCTTCATCCTATATTATATATTTATTATAACGCAATTTTTCCATAACACGGTGTATTTAGGAACGCAACTACCACTGCGTTATAGGAGCAATGTGTGTTAACATTTGCATCGTGCCGTTGTGTGTGTTGAGTGTTACATTATCACACAAAAAAAACACGCATGGTAAATAAATCGTTCTCACTCCCGATTCATTCTTGCCTTCCAATTGATGCAGCACTCTCATGGCACCAATTGTCAATGCCGAGATGAGAATCCTAGCAACGTCAAACCGTGTATTGCTGAAACACTGCCGCGTTTTCTGGAAAACAGACCTCATTTGGTAAACCGTATAGAGCCAAAACATCACCATTGTATTCAGTTGGGGAAAAGCGTTAAACTCGACAGCGGCGATGACCGATTTCCCCCCCCCCCTCCCCATAGGGCCGAGCCAATCCTGGCGCGAATCCAGGAGGATCGCCGTGTGGTGGTCTCCACGGTGTTTGACAACACACACTATGACACGTTCGTCGTACACCGCTACGAGTCGCAGGCACAGACGTTCACCTGGCAGCTGTGGTGCACCTACAGAGAGCCTCCCCTCGAGTGGATCACCAACAAGGACCCCACGGCCCCCATTAGGTGAGTCGCACGCCCGCACGGACTGAGGTGGCTAGGAGATGTTGAATACCTCCCCAGGCATGCAGAAGGTTGTTGGTTCGATCCTGACCCTGACGCTTGCTGTAGATTTCGGAGTTTGCGGTGTCTCTCTCCCCATGGTCGCGTGGATCTGTCTCCGGGTCCACCGGTTTTTACCTCCACATTTAGAAACGTGCGTTTTTAGAGTATTTGGTTACTATAAATGTTCACTTGATAATCCACTTCGGTGTGTGATAGCCAAGTCGTTTCTGAACAAAGAGCTGCATAGATCAGTGGTGCCTTACCTGTGTAGAGGAGAGAAATATGCGGTGGGCACAGTTAAGTGGGTGCAACTGAGGGCAAACAGGTGTGCGGGTTGCTACATGAGGTTTGCACAGACAAACCGCCAGTAGTTAAGGGGAGAAGCGGGTGCAACCGAGGTCGAACAGGTGCTACGCTGTGACCTTAGGTTGGCGTCTAGGAGATGGGAGATGGGGGGTGATGATAAGAGATTAATGGGACAACTGGCGCCAGCCTGGCGAGGGGAGTTGTTGCCAGGAACCAAGAGTGAAGACATCTCGCCGCTGCCACTCCAGCCGTCACCGGGACCTCAACCCTCACGCCGTCGCCGGGCGGGTGTTGGCTGAACCCCCCGCCCGGGACAGACGGGTGAAGGGGTCTGAGAGAGTGTAGGTGAGGGCAGTGGTGGAGATGCAAAGATGCTGTGTGCGGAATCTCTATGTGCACGGAGTTGCTGGGTGTGAAGACGCTGTGTGCGGAGTCTCTGGGTGCGAAGACGCTGTGTGCGGAGTTGCTGAGTGTGGAGACGCTGTGTTCGGAGTTGCCGAGTGTGGAGACGCTGTGTGCAGAGTTGCTGAGTGTGGAGACGCTGTGTGCGGAGTTGCTGAGTGTGGAGACGCTGTGTGTGGAGTCGCTGGGTGCGAAGACGCTGTGTGCGGAGTCGCTGGGTGTGAAGCTGCTGTGTGCGGAGTTGCCGAGTGTGGAGACGCTGTGTGCGGAAATGCTGAGTGTGGAGACGCTGTGTGCTGAGTCGCTGGGTGTGAAGCTGCTGTGTGCAGAGTGGCTGAGAGCAGAGCTGCTGAGTGCAGGATAAGCGAGGTGCAGAATAGATGAGAGCGGGGAGATGTTAAGTATATGTGACTGTACAAATAGTTACAGGAGTGCCTATAACTGGCGCAAGAACAGGTGAATAAAGTGTAAGCAGGAGACTTGTTACAATATGTTAGTGTGAGTATTTTTCAAAACACTACACCTGGTTAAATTAAAAATATTGAATCTAGTGAATGATGTCTCCGTTGCATGTGGCATTCAAAGTCCTTTCGCTTGCCAAGTTCAATCGAGTTGCTTTGACCACCCCCCCCCCCCCCCCAGGAGTCCAATTGTGATGGGCTGCATGGCGGCCAGCAAGAGCTACCTGGAGGAGATCGGGTTTCTGGATGAAGGCATGCAGGTGTACGGAGGGGAGAACGTGGAGCTGGGCCTCAGGGTGAGGACGCAAAGACACAGAGACAAAGATCCCCCGTGTAGCCTTAACAGACTGTTGGGGCAAGTGCTGTTATAGCGAGTAGCAGCACCTATGAAGGCGGGCACGGCACACGAGGGGCTGCATAGTCATCACCACGCTCGGCCGCCATTGTCTCCCCAGTGGTGATGTATACACACTGCACCGAGGTTCTCATTTGAGGCGAAGTCGACCTACAGAAAGGTCCATGACCAGTTCAGATAATCTGTCCCTGATGTTTGCCGTGAGCAGGAATTGAACTCTGGTAAACCAGGTTTATAGCACAGTGCGCGAACCGCTACACTACTACAAAGATGCAACCTTGACCAAATTCACTCACTCACTCACTCGTGCGTGTTTATACAGACCGGCACAGGCATTATGAGATCACTGTGCTGCCTTGTTCAGAGTCAACGGTGAGGGTGGCTGGGCTCCTCCTTACCAGAGGTAGAAACACTGAGCTCCAGCCCCGTTTTGCAGCCTAATTCAGAGTGGACGATCACACTGGCTGGTCTATTGGGTGCCCAGACACACCTCTCTCCTCCATCCCCCTTCTCCGCCCCCGTGTATCCAGGTGTGGCAGTGCGGGGGCAGCGTGGAGGTGCTGCCCTGCTCGCGCTTGGCTCACATCGAGCGCTACTTCAAGCCGTACGCCCCGGACCTGAGCATCCACATGCGCAGGAATGCGCTGCGTGTGGCCGAGATCTGGATGGACGACTACAAGAGGAATGTCTACCTGGCCTGGAACCAACCCATGAATGTACACAGTGCACTGTTACGCGCCGCGAAGTTAGTGCGAGGCAGGGTGGAGAAATTGGTGGGCTGACTCCACCCAAGGCCTTGCCCGCCTGGGGTAGCTCCCCGCCTCTGCTAGGCCCTTTATGCACCATCATCGCTAGTCCTCGCTAGCAACTACTCCGGGGGCGCATCACGCAGCCCTCTACCACGCCGGCGCACCTGGCTGTGGACTCGGCTGGTCTCCATCCCTTCCTCAGTGTGTACTTCTCCTATATAGGACAGTCCTTCCTCTGAGGAACACCCTCCTGGAGGGTAATTCCCCCTCCTCCGAGTCCACCGGCGTGCACCCCTGGTTCGTCATACCACACACCGGCTGGGTAACCACTCCGCCACCTCACGACCTCAGACAGGGGGTTAATACTCCACCCCCCGCTTCGTTGAGTCTGAGGTGCCTGTGCGAACATCGGTGTGATAGTGTCTCTATGTAGGTAGATATCTCTACACCTGTATGGGTGTTTGTGCATGTATGTACCTACATGTAACCAGCAACTTGTTTTGTTTCCTGCTGGCGAGCCTTCAACACTTCACGTGGCGTCAAGGTGTACCCAGTCTGGCACACGCGACAAGGCACTAATTGTATATCTGTACCATTATCTGCGTGTGGTCTGTGGAACTCAACGCCTTCTCATTCGTCCACACATTTTCATTCTCCAATGCGCCCTCCACCAGACTGTCCCCTCCCATACCCTGTGCCTCGTCTTTCCTGGTCTATGCCCACTCTGGGCTCTAGCTTCCTGATTCGCTACCGATAGGGGAGGGGTCGTGCAGGATTCGCCAGCCCCTATCACATGACTCAAACTCTCCCATTCCAGCCCTCCCCTTCTCCCTCAACTGTCCATTAACTGTCAATCAACTTTTCAACTACTCTCAGCGAGAAGCAGTCTTTGCCATTTCCATACTTCTTCACGGTGGAATTTACTGCAGACAGAATAGACAAATTAGTAACGTTGCCTAGATACAAATCGAAAAACCATCAAAAACTTTGTCACAGGCTTGTGTAAATATACCGTGTTTTCACAGCCTCAAGATATTTCCGAACTTGGCCATAGAATTCGTAGTAAGCATAGTTAGCGGTGATCATGTAAGCATGGCCTTAACATGCTCGTGGCCAAGACAAGGTCAATGTGGAATATTGAGATTGGCCATGATGACTTTTTTTTCTTCCAGTGTGGGTTGTTGTGTGCAAGAGAAGTCTCTGGGACCAGTCTCAGGACTTCAGTTCAACATTGAGTTGATGTTAAGAACCTTTTGTGGGTGGAGATCATGCAGTGTAGATCACCTACGTAACTTCCGGCGAGGCCAGATTCGCTCTGGAGTAGAGCTCACAGTGAGGAGTTCAACAAATGGGCATCTAAGGCGAAACTTTTTTGAGCCAAATGGTGAATAAGATTTGAGTGAGGATGTTGGTGTACGCTCGTAGCACCCGCCCCCCAACAGGTTGTTGGAGAGCTACATGGTTGGTCGTTGTCTTTTTTTGTTTCCAGGGCTCTGGGATAGACATTGGCGATATCTCGGACCGCGTGGCTCTGCGCAAGCGGCTCCAATGTAAGAGCTTCGAGTGGTACCTGGAGAACGTGCTACCCTCGCTGCCTAACCACAAGGAAATCGTCCAGTACGGCGTGGTGCGTAGTCCTTCTGCACGCTCAGGGCTGGCTTGTTCGCTGAATGGAGTCTGTTCTCCTAATAACGCGGCAGTAGTTACGTTTTCTAATCCATTTATTGCATTATATCTAATTCGCGTCATGAAAGCAACACGCGTTATAGACGGACTGACTACTTAAACTGTTGGTGATGATGATTTAATTACTTAGTCAATGATAATTTCAGGAGGGGGAAAAAAGAAACTCAAACCGATCCTATTTCAGGCGCACGAGGCGACACATCGGGCACACGTCGTAGTGCACCGAATGATGCGGTGAAGAGCGCGGGGATGTGATGGCGGTGTGCGCTGCTGCTGCTGCTGTGACCGGTGTTGCCCTGCTAGATGAGGAGCGTTGAGAGGAAGGACCTCTGCCTGGACCGGGGCGACCCTCAGAAGAACACCCCCATCATCCACCCCTGCCATGGATTTCAACCCCAGGTGCTCGTCACAATTTCCCTTCCATGTGCAGTTTGTTGTCCTTCACCCCCCCTCCCCCCCACACCTCTGATTTAGCGTAGTGTATAGTGTAGTGTATAGTAGTGTAGTCCATAGTAGTCTGGTGTTTAGTAGTTTGTATGTATGTTAAACTTTCGCAACCGTATGTAGAAAACTGTGGCTAATCGGAGGTGCGGGGGGAAGGACAACAAACCAAAACACAAAAAACAGATATGAGGGTTTTGTGTTGGACTCGTCCATGAAACCCTCAAGACTGAAAAGAGTCTTAAAGACTGTCTTTCATTCGAGTCCTGCCAAGTTGGGGGGCGAATATTGCTGCTGTGTTTGATTCCCAACTGAGTCATTTGCGTTTGATTTTTAAAAAATTTGGGATCGTAACAACACCACCACGGCATCTTTAACGTCTGCCATGCGACCTGAAGTTAACGGCCCATTTGCGTTTATTATGGCCGCTACCGCGGTATTAACCGGGGCGACCGTTGTGTATTGTTTAAAAACCACGAGCCTCTGCAAGACGAGTGGCGAATGTGGGAAGGTATTTTTTTCGAATTTTGGTAAAAATATTTAAAGAGCCTCACAATGGACTGTGGTGAATACGAGACGGTGGTGGTACTTGATAAATAGCGTCACAAAATGATTCCTTAAAGAGTCGCGGGCTGCTCTGGAGCCACAGGTTGCCGACCCCTGGCCATGGTGAACTGGTCTCCTATGGTGAACTGGACTCCCATGGTGAACTGGACTCCCATGGTGAACTGGACTCCTGTGGTAAATTGGCCTCCCGTGGCAAACTGAACTCCCATGGTTAGAAGTTGGCAAACAAAATAACAAGAAAAGACATTTTTTTCGAATTTCAAGAGCCACACCACAGTAACTTAAAGAGCCACCGCATCGCGGCTCCGGCAGCCGCAGGTTGCCAACCCCCTGCCCAAGCGCGACGGCCCTCTGTGTACGTCAGTTTAGCACACAGCAGCAGTAGTCGGCTTTTAACACCAATATTATCCATAATAGGGTTTATTTTTTGGGTTAGCTCGTGTTAATATAAATGTGTCGTTTAAACCCGCCACCACCACCCGACACAGCCAATTGCTAAGGTTTTGTCATGTAAACAGAAGCCTGCCAGTCTAGTTACGAGTTCAGTGCTAACCGGTTGTGCATTGGGAGAGTAAACGCGCAGCGCCGTTTACAATTCGAGTGACCGTGACGTTTGCGCCGGTGATTGCACAACGACGCTCTGGGATGCAGTTGGCAGTGGAAACGTCAACAAAGAGGATCATGGTGGGCTTCAACGTGGACCTGAAGTCTCCCGGAGTCATCTGCGTGGGGATGTCCAAGACAGAGACTGAACCCGCCCTGCTCGACTGCGACCTGCAGTCGGTGCAAGAGAGGATTCTCAAGTTCCAGGTGGGTGGCCCGCACCTGTGGACGCTTCACAGCATTCCGCTCGTTTATACCCAGAAGCGCCTCACCGCCGTGACTCAAGGCTCTCTCGTTCAGGAGGGTCCCGCCTCCCACCCCCCCGCCCCCCCCCCGTGCATATCCGTGTGTGTGTGTGTCTGTGTGTGTTTGTGTGTGTGTATGTGTGAAATGTCGAACGCCCACTGGCAGGAGGTCACGGGGCAGACCCAGGTGCCACGGGTCGACTGACTGAGATGACTGGCTGATGCACCACCTGTGCCCTCTACTGTGCCTACTTGCTGTGCTTTAGCCACCCGGCACTCCGCTCGTTGTTGTGAGCGTCGTTCCTCCGCCCTCCGTTGATGTTGGAGGGCGACTGCCTCCAACTGCCCAGTAGCGTCCTACACAAGCCTCCTCCACAGAGGCCGATCTTGACACTGCTGGTACCAGTCATTGGCATGTCCACTCAGCTCCACGTCCTCCTGTACCACATCACTCCATCTCTTCTCTAGCCCGTGCCACGCCCGTTTAGCCCCCTCGATCCCGCTGTACAAAAGCTGTTTGGGCATGCGGTGATAGGGCATGCGGGCTACATGGCCCAGCCAACGCAGCCTTGCCTGCCGGAGGAGCTCACCGATGGGACATTGTCCAGATCTTTCGAGGATTTGTGAGCTCCTCACACAATCCAGCCTGGTTAAACCAGGGATTGATCGTAGGTAGGCCAGCCTAAATGTTTCTAACCAGCGTAGATGTTCCATTAAGGGGGTCCACGTTTCACAAGCCTAGAGAAGGGAGGGAATGACTGTGGCCGAGAAGACCCGAAGCTTCATACGGAGCGACAGACCAGGTAGCTTCCACACAGCGTTACGCAACCGATGAAAATATAATGCCGCTCGACTGATTCAGAGTGAGACCTCTGCTGTTAAACCGGAGCCGGTCATGAGCACACTGCCCAGGTATGAGAAACTCTCCACTCACTCCACAACTGCCCCATCACCGATTGGGATTTGTGGGGGTGGAGTGCCCGATGGTACAAAATACCCAGGCAGGTGCTTCGTTTTGGTGGGGCTAATGGTAAGGCTCCACCTCTTAGTGGCACACTCCAGTTTCAGCAGCAGCGCCTCCAACTTCTCCTCTCAGTGAGCCGCAATTACCAGGTCGTCGGCATACATAACGTGGTTGACCAATAGGGAGCCATCCCTTGACTGCACCCGGGCATCGATCAGCCTCCCATTGTATCTGTACCAAATGGAAATTTCTCCAGTACAGCTACTGAAGGCTTCACGAACTACGTGGTCGAAAGGGATGTTAAATAATGTTGGAGCCAGAGGACATCCCTGTCGCACCCCAAGGTGTACAGGGAATGGCTCTGACTCCTGGCTACGTAGTTTTACCCGGGCCTGCTCACCATCATGAAGGTCCTTAATGAGCGTGAGCAGAGGGTCAGGGACTCCGAAAGCACGAAGAACAACCCAGAGCCCAGGCCTACTGATGGTATCATAGGCCTTGACCAGGTCAATAAAGCAGAGATGTAGGTTTGTCGGAATACCCTACACCTCTGCTGTAGCATACACACAGAAAATATAGCATCTGTGCAGGAGACCACCCTTTCCTGAAACCACGTTGAGGCTCCGCAAGCCTCTCCTCAGCATGCCGAGTAAGGCGATGTTGAATAATCCGTGCCAGGACCTTTCCCGGCACACTGAGACGTGAGATGCCCCTGTAGTTGTTACAGTCTGTGCGGTCCCCCTTCTTAAAGAGGGGTACCACAAGGGCATCCTTCCAATCCTGTGGAACCCATCCAGTTGTCCAGACTGTTGTTATGATGTCATATAGGGCAGTCTGTGCACAAACGCCACCCTCCCTCAGCATTTCGCTTGGGAGATCATCTCTGCCCGGTGCCTTTCTTGGTCTCAGACTCTGGATCGCCTTCAGTACTTCCTCAACAGATGGCACTTCAGCCAGCCACTCACAGGGGGTGACTTCTTCCAATATTTGAGGCACCGCAGCCTCAGCAGGGTCATCCCCACTTTGTCCCGCGATTTGTTGCCATTTCGCGGGATTTCCCCTCCCCCAGGGCTTCACAGAAATGCGCAGCAAATCTGCAAACCTGTTCCTGGGTGTCGGAGATTGGATCACCGTTCTTTCCCCTAATTATGGTAATAGGTGTGGTGCTGCAGGTTACTTTTTTGATGGAGTTAAATAGGGATTTGTGATGGCGGGCCATTGAGGCAGACTCCATCTCCTTCACACATGCGTACATACACACGTGTACATATCTTTTTTTGCGCGTGGCCCCTGCTGCAGGACGGAGAAATGCGAAGCGGAGACGGAGGAAAGTGCTTGGAAGTGCAAGAGGTGGAAGGCGAGAGCTTTGGGGCTCGGCTCGTCATCCAGCCCTGCACCGGAAAGAAGTGGATCGTGGAGTTTTACAGTCCCCCCAAGTGATCCCAGTCATCATCCTCTTCATCATCGTCATTGTGATGAAGACGACGATGACGATCGTGACGATTATCGTTTACAGATCGAGACCAAACTTTCTATAATAATTATAATTAATAATAAGAGAGGTGGCAACTGATTGTGCCTTTGGGATGTTTATTTAAAGCAATACATATTTAAAAGAGAACTGTAAAAAAACGACAGTGGGACGCTCTGCTGCGTTAACACGGTTGTGAAGATTTATGAAGGGCTGCATTAAGTTTTGCTTTGCGCGGGAATAGTTGCACGGCGAGAGCCGATATCACAATGCGGGTGTCGAGCGACATGGCTAGCACCGGCGTCACAATGGGAATGCCCGCGCGTCTCCGTTTGTGTCTCCGTGTTTGTGTCTCTGTGTGTATGTGTGTCGGTCTGTGTGTGCGTGTCTCCGTGTGTGTGTGCGTGTCTCCGTGTGTGTGTGTGCGTGTCTGTGTGTGTGCGTGTGTGTGTGCGTGTGTCTGTGTGTGTGCGTGCGTGCGTGTATCCGTTTGTATCTCCGTGTCTATGTGTGTGTCTCCATATCCGTGTGTGCGTCTGTTGGTGTGTGTTAATGTGTGTGTATGTGCGTAGTTGTTTGCCTCCGCGTGCCTGCCCCAACTGCGGAATAGATGACCGAGAGGGAGAGTTGGGAGGGCCAGCGATGGTGGCTGACGGCAGCTTGCACTGCGCGTGCCATGCCGGGGGAGAGGGTAGTGGGTGAGACTCAGGGGAGGGTGGGGGCCGCATTGTCCACTCAACACCTCGGGCTTTGATCTCAAGTTGTCTTCGCTCATCCATCCACGCACGTTCTTTGCGTTCTCGGGAGCCAGTGGTCGATCCCGATCCGCGGTGCAACGATCCGCGTTACGTCGGCCTCTCGCGTTACCGGAGTGTATTGCTATTGGAGTTCGGGCGGTCTTGTTTTATAAGACACCGTTGCGCGTTGTGAATACGCACCGAAGGAGTTTTGCTTTGAGTGAATCTGCGACGGGCGGGTGTGTGCCACGACGGGTCCGACGCGACGTGCGTGCTCGAGATGCCCCCCCGTTTCGCTCGTCGCGCCTCTGCCAGCGAAACCGTTCCTGTGCCGGGGGGCCACCCCCTCCCTCTTATTCTAACGTACGGCTGATGTCGACGCAGAGCGACAACTACAATTTCAATATTCAGGTGTCACACCCAGATAATAACCGCGTCAGGAGTAAGCCGAGTCGTGAATCGTCATCGCTGCGATGATGTCTCCTTCGTATTTGTGGATCGGGGAATTGCGTCCTTATACATCGTACGGTGTGGTCTGGGTAACCACAGTCGCACACTACTGGAAAGTTTTTTATTTTCCATTTGGTGATGGTGGGGGAGCGGTGGTGCTGCGGTTAGCATTCTGCGCTACGAACCCGGCGACCCTACTTCGATTCCCGCTCACGGCTACCAACACCATTGACGATTATCTGAATGGGTCCTGGGTCTCTCCTGTATGTATGTTGACCTTCATTGGCACGAGGTCGACTCGACCTCAAATAGGTACCTGGTAAGATGAGTAAACTTCGCCACTCGGGAGACAAAGGCGGCCGGGCGTGGTGCTAGCTACCCCACCCCCTAGTGTACCGTGTCGGCCTTCATAGGTGCTACTCGCCAACAGCACTTGACCCAACAGTGTGTTGAGGCTACCCGGGGGATCTTTGTCTTCGGTGGTGGTCGTGGCTATGCCGCTGCATGTGGCTGCTGCCTGTGAACCAGCACTGCTGCGAGGGCAGCAGCAGCAGCGAGGGTTGGTGGATTACCGCACAGATGGGTTGTGAAGCTTCCATCAATGCCCTTAGATGGGCATCGAGGAGGAGCCGTACTCCCTGGTACAGCCAAAGTGTGTGGACTAATCTCCATCTGTTCCGTCTGAACGGGATAGAGAGAAATTGCTTCCCCGAGTCGTTCTATCTCTCTGTTCCAGATTGAGTGAATAGAGTGCTGTGTGTTCTAAGTTTTAAATCATATTTATTGTATTAATATCGCAGTGATATTTTCTGGCAGCTCGCATTCAAACGAGACGCGTGGTAACCGGGGCCGGGCCAAATTCTGTCTCGCTGCTGCGTTTTAAAACTAAGAGATTGAACGCAGTCTGCGGTAGTTTGGCAGTAGCGGGGCGATGTTGATAAAATTATTATCCGGTTGAATGATGCATTGGCAGTAGTTGTGCAAACAACAACAACTCTCAACGCATTCCGTGTCAACATTGCATGTTGTCCTTTCTCAAAGACGCCAGCGAGCGATGCACTTCCACATAAACAGGGGCGCCGCGGTGGCGAAATGTTATCTCCCTCGCCTGGTACATAGTGGGTCGTGGGTTCCATCCTGACCCTGTTGCCTGCTGTATATTTGGAGTTTTGCGTATTCTCCCTCTCTCTCTCTCTTTACTCGTGGTCGTGTGGATTTGTCTCCGGGTCCTCCGGGTTTTCCCTACACATGAATAATCAACATCACGCGTTTAGAGTATTTTGGCTGCTATGAATTTCCACACCAAGGTGATGATAAGCCACTTTCGTTGAACGTATCATTTGTGGCCAGGTCGCTTCTGAAAAGAGAGCTGCAGAACTCAGTGGAATTTACCTGGTAAATAAAATGTATTTTAATATTCAGCTCTGCCTGTGATATTGTCCCGAGAACTTTATATCGCACACTTCCAGTTGCTATAACCAATTATTGACACTGCTCGCGAAGTCACATCACTCGCTGTCTTCTCTGCCTCCTTGTAGAAACATTTTATCGTCAAGGACCACGTTAACCACGGAATGTGTCGAGTTTTAGATTTGAAGCCTTCATAACTGCAAGGATCCATACTCTTTGGTTCTATTCGGTAAAAGTCACGTAGGTAAAAATAAAATAACAAAAATCACGACGTTTCGGCCACAACACAAGTGGCCTTCATCAGGTGAAGGGACTGGACTGTCCAGAGGACAGCGTTGGAGTGAAAACAGCAAGCCCAGGTCGCGTCCTTTAAGCTGTGTGGGAGGAAACAAAAAACGCCTTGACAAAGGAATTAGCATAACAATGATGTACTGGATCGGCATGGTGGGGGGGGGGGGGGAGTTTACATAATGTTGGTGTGAAGGGAAATAAGCTGCTGTGAAAGTTTGGAATACCACTACTTGAATAAATATACTGTACCATTGAATATTAATTTAATGTTTGGTTTGATTTAGAACATCTTTCCAATGATTGCTTAATTTGAAACCATCCTCTCGGTTGAATTTGTGTCTGTCTTTGTAAATTTGAATTGCCTCGTAGACAAATCTCTGATAAAAACCCGTGGGTTTGCAAAGAACCTTGGTATCGGAGAAAACTATATTGTGATCACCCACAGCGTTGTGACAGTGATTAGCTACGGCAGAAGAATTCGTTCTGCCGTGTTTCAAATCTGATTTGTGCTCGCGAATTCGGTCAGAGACATGTCGCTTCGTCTCCCCGATATAGCAGTCACCACCGGTGCAGCTCAGTTTGTAAACCCCGGGGTACTGTAAGTCAGGAACGACTGGGCTTGCTGTCTTCACTCCAACGCTGTCCTCTGGACAGTCCAGTCCCTTCACCTGATGAAGGCCACTTGTGTTGTGGCCGAAACGGCGTGATTTTTTGTTATTTAATTTTTACCTACGTGACCTTTACCGAATAGAACCAAAAAGTATGGATCCTTGCAGTCACGAAAGCTTCAAATCTAGAATTGTCTGTAATTGTCTGAGTCACCTGTGCAGGTGTGCGTGTGAGTGTTTGTGATGGCACCGGTTCTGTGAGAGGATGGGTCAGGTCCCCTGTGTTTGACAGACGGGCGTGATGATTACAATGCGCGGAATGCATGTTACACAACATGGTACACACGTATACACACACATTCTCATACGGACACACACATACAAAAACAAATATCCCCGTGTAGCCTCAACAGACTGTTGGGGCAAGTGCTGGTAGCCACCGCTCATGGAACGGCACGCGATGGGGGGGGTGGATGGCCAGCACCACGCGCCCGGCCGCCTTTGTCTCCCCAGTGGCGATGCTTACTACACACCGCACCAGGTACTCAATTGAGGCTGAGTCGACCTAGGGGATACCCAGAACCGGTTCAGATAATCGTCACCGGTGTTGGCGGCCGTGAGCGGTGAATCGAACTCGGGTTGGCCAGGAGGGGGCTTCGTAGCGCAGCATCGCGCCCTAACCACTGCGCCACCACTCCCCCAACTCCATACGAATCCTCACACACGTGTGTGTGTGTGGTATGTGGTGTGTGTGGTATGTGGTGTGTGTGTGTGTGCTGTCCACACTGACTTAGTTACGAACAGCCACACGCACCAACAGCCTCGCACTGATACAAACCACCGCAACCTCCGTGGCATCTCGTCGCGGCGCTTGTGCAAGGCCACGTGCACTTGGAGGCCACGTGGGAGTGTCGAAGGCTGGCTGGAGAGGTCACGGGACAGACCCGGCACGTGCTATGGGTTGGGTGCTGTGCCAGGCTAGGTGCAGGAGGTCACGGGACAGACCCGGCACGTGCTATGGGTTGGGTGCTGTGCCAGGCTAGGTGCAGGAGATCACGGGACAGACTCGGCACGTGCTATGGGTTGGGTGATTTTTTGTTATTTTATTTTTACCTACGTGACTTTACCGAATATAACCAAAGAGTATGGATTATTGCAGTCACGAAAGCTTCAAATCTAGAATTGATAACCTCTACGGGGAGGGCTTTCACCTATCTGTTAGAGCTTTGAACAGACAACGGGACAAGAAGTCAAAGCTCATCGAGACGCTGACCTTCCTCAAAAGATGCCGCGACAACAAGGTAATACCCATCGCCTTCACACTCACATCTGCTGCTGTATCCTCACCGAATTCTAAACAGATTCTGTTTAAGGCCAGCCTATCTTTAATCTCAGAGAGGATTTGAACTCGATACTTTAGACAGGACTCTCCTACAAGCTCATTTAACGCTAACATAAAAAATGTCACCTTCTGATTGGAACCACGTAGACAACATGACTGCTTCTTCAGCCGATTCACTTTCAGTCAAATACAAAGCTAACCTGATTTCTAAATTCAACCACCTATCGAAGAAGAACCCAGTCCCACATATAACAAAACTAGACGTTAACACAATCGTCATTAATCAGAGTAGCACCCCGATTTCGGACAATCTGAAAACAGTACTGGCTAGAGGGCTAAATTTTGCTGTCAACCCGAAACATATTCCTGTAGATTATATCATCTCTCAGGTCGATGTGGTCCTTAAAGGCATAGGACACATCCAAGCAGACGTTGCGAGAGCTGAAATAGCCACTATTCTTAAGAATGCTAAGAAATCCATTAGCAAGATCAGCAAAAATTAACGCTCTGAACTCGCGAATTTAAAAAACAGAAGTGATATAGTCATCCTCTCAGCCGACAAAGGC